CTCTGTCCTCTAGGGGCGCTGTGTGTCAGAATCGACTCCACGGCAGTGGGTGTGGTTTGGGCTTTGCTTCCCTGAAGACTGACAGCCTTGGAGACTCTGTGGGCAGTTCCACTCTGTCCTCTAGGGGCGCTGTGGGTCAGAATAGACTCACAGCAGGGGGTTTGTTTTCTTTGGTTTCTGAGATCTGAGTAACCAGCACCAGTCAGGACACAGAACAGCTCAGTTACCCCAAAAGACCTCCTCCACCAAACCCCTGGCAACACTGGTCTGTCCCACCAGTCTAGTCCTGTCTTTCCTAGAGTGCCATGAGCATGGAGTTGTACGACATGTAATCTTTTTTCTTTTTTTAAATTTTTATTATGATTTGGCAGCATGTAATCTTTTGTGACTGGCTTTTTCCCATGGCATGTGCATCAGCGGTCCATCCAGGCGTGTGGCAGTAATCGGCCCTTTGTTTGGGACTGAGCAGGAGTCCGTGCGTGTGGGGCTCTGCCACGGGCTGCTTGCTCATCCAGGGCAGGGTACCTGGGCGACTGAATAGATGGGCCACGAGCAGTGCTGTGCAGGCATCTGTGTGGACGCAGTTCCCCTTTCTCTAGGGCTAATACCTAGGGCTGCCGTTGCTGGTGCACAGTGTAATACATGTTGGACTTTCTTTGACAAATGCCAAACTGTTTGCAGAGTGACGGACCATTTAGCCTCCCCACCAACAATGTGTGAGTTCTAGTTAGTCTGCATCCTTGCCAGGTGGGTGGACTTTGTTTCCTGTTCTGATAAGCTTATGGCGACATCTCACTGTATGTTTCCTTTGCCTGATGGCCAGTGACAGGTAAATGGGCCTGAACGCACCCTTGCTCGCCCTACACATACCCTCTTGAGGTGTCGGTTCAGTCCTTTGTCCATTTTTTAACTGGCTTGTTTGCTGTCGCAGGTGAGGTTTCACAGGTCTTATATTTTTGCACAAGGCCTTTGTTGCAAGGAGTTTCATAACCACCCCACATCTGTAGCTTCTCTTAGCTATGATTTTCACAGGCAAAGCTTTTAATTTTGATGCTTTTAAAAAAAATGTTGATGACTTTTAAGATTTTGATGAAGTTTTAAAAATTTTGATGAACTCCATTTTATTGGCATTTTCCTTTTATGGGGTAGAACTTTGGTGTCACCAAGCCCAGGCCACAATGACTCGCCTGTTTTGCTTTCCGCCTCTCCCACCAGGTCTGGGCCCAGTTTGAGGGGCTTTTGGCATGAGGTGTGACCCTTAGGTTGGGGCTCACTTTGGTGTGGGGCTGCCTTACTGTCCTGACACCATCTGTTGAAAAGACTGTCTTCTCTCCACGGAATCATCTTATGCTCTTGTCAAAAATCAGCTGACCCTGGGCTGCGGGCCGCTGTCTTTGCCAGTACCACATGGTTTCTTCTGTGTCCCAGTCTTCTTTACGCCTGAGACTTTGACGACAAACTGCAGCCCTTTGCATCCTGCCCTCAGGGCTCGGCGGTGCTGTGCACGGCTCGTGTTTCCAGCATGCCCTCCGTGGTGTATACTGGCTGGGACGCCTTCCGGCTGCCCCGTTCTGCGCAGCCCACCCAGTGGGGTTCTGGGTTCTGTTCATTGTGACTTTCACTTCTGAAAGGTCTGTTAGGTGGCTCCTCTGCGGAGCCCCTCTGCCGTCCACCTGCTCTGGAGTGTGGAGGGCTCTCAGAGGGGCTGTAACGGCCCTGTCCGTGTCTGTGCTGCTAACGCCAGTGTCGCTGCCTTCTTGGCATCAGCTTATCTTCATCATCTGTGCCCGGAGCACGGAGAGTTTCCTGATTCATAGCTGGTGCTTAGGAGTTACATCCCCCAGGCTTTTGATAGCTCATGAGGCTTTGGGGAGCCATCCTCTGTCGATGTTCTTGTGTGGCAGGACCTCAGTCTGGCTGGGTTTGCCCACAGGTTCCCGCCCACCTCTTGTAGGTTTCAGTGACAGCTCCATTTTCAAAGCCTGTGACTTGCTCTTCAGATCTAACTCAAGTGCACCACCAGCCACCAGTCCAGATGGGTGTCAGTCCAGCTCTTAGGGCACTTCTCAGTCTTCTGGGTGCTGTTCAGGACCAGACCCACATTTCCATCTTGAGGGAGCTCAGTGGTTCTAAACGACTTTATAGGGTTGCTGTCCCAAGCCCCACGCTCTCCCCAGTCTGCCTACTGCTTCCCAGTCCCCCCTTTGGCCTCCTGCCAGAAAGCTGGGGCTTCACTACTCCGTGCTGCCACTTCTGATTTCCTGGGACTCTACCCATATCTGGGGCCAAGAGGTGTGAGGGCAGAAAAAGGAAAAACAAAAGAACAAATACACGGTTTTCTCTCCTTTTGAACCCACAGCACCTCCACATGAAGAGGGCTCCCCTTCCTCAGAGTTTTGGACACCTGAGGGCCCCCACATGCCAAGGAGTGTATCTACCTAGTGTAAATGTTCAGCTCATATGCCTGTCTTGTTTGGCTGGAAGCCACAGGTATGGGTTCAGTTCCAGACCTGAAGGGCATACATTTTGACACAGTGACCAACATACCTGAATTAGAGTCAACTGTCTGCTGTCAGTTTTTACCCATCCCACTTTTTCTTTGTCCCTGTTCTCCTCTTTCCCCTAGGAGCCATAGTCCAGTGGTTCCATTAGACCAGCAAACCTGGTCCCCCCCTTTTTTTTTTCTTTCCCAATGATTTTGAGTTTTGTTCCACATTGTTCTCACTCTTTATCCAGGATCTCCTACTTAGATCCTCCTCCAAGTGGTTGATAGTGGTAGCCAGGCACCATCTAGTTCTGGTCTTATAGTTGGCTGAGGATCTCATGGTGTACAAGTCCCTTGGACTAATTGTTTCCGTGCATCTTTGGTTTTCTTCATTCTTCTTTGCTCTGGATGAGGAGAGGCCCATTGTTGCATCCAGATGGCTGCTTGCAAGCTTTTAAGATCCCAGTCGCTACTCACCAAAGTAAGAGGTGGAGCAATGTTTTGTGTAGCATGTTATGCTAATTGAGCTTGATGTCCCCTGTGACTATGGTCCTGAGCCCACACGTTCAACTACTTGCTCCCTCTGGGTAGCTGGCTGTGGCCAAGAAGTAACTACAACCTTGTCCTTTGTCAGCTCTACTATACACCTGGGAATTCTTACAAAACATACAAATACACTTGTAGAACCATTGTGTGCCAACCCTATACATGGTACACTTCCCCCTGCATAGATGTACCTAATAGTTCAGCCTGTCCACCCATATACCCATGTTTGCCTTCACTGACAACACGGTACTATATGTGCAAAAGGGTTCATCTTTGTTGTCTGCACCTCCCATATACCTCTCTATGCCTTCCTCTTCTTCAATGCCACCATGTTCATCACTCACATTTGGTACATTGCCCTTCTCTACACCCAAATCAGTACTTACCTCTACCTGTCTAAGAGTGTTTCCTGCCCTACCCTCCCACCCCTGGTAACCAACGAAGAACATTTTCTTCCATATATAAACCTTTCCTTGACTTTTACAATAATGGACTAATACTACATTTGTTCTTCTGTGATTGACTTATTTCACTCAGCATAATGTCCTCCAAGTTCATCCAGGCTATATGGTGTTTTGCAGATTCTACATTATTCTTTAGGGTTGCATAGTATTCCATTGTGTGTGTGTACCATAGTTTGGTTATCCATTCCTCAGTTGATGGACACCTGGACACCTAGGTTGTTTCCATCTTTTGGCAATTGCAAATAGTGCTGCAGTGAACATGGGTGTACATATATCTGTTCTTGTCATGGCTCTCACTTCTTTAGAATATATACCTAGTAATGGAATGGCTGGGTCAAATGGTATTTCTAATTCCAACTTTTGAAGGAATCACTATACTGCTTTCCACAATGGTTGTACTATTTTACAGTCCCACCAGCAGTGTATGAGAGTCCCAATGTCTCCACATCCTTGCCAGCATTTGTTATTTTCTGTCTTGTTGAAGTTTGCTACTAGTGCTGAGTCAAGATGGTATCCCATTGTTTTTTTGATTTGCATCTCTCTAATGGCTAATGATCATGAGCATTTCTTCATATGTTTGTTGGCCGCTTGAATATCCTCCTTGGTAAAGTGTCTA